GTTCGTACGGCCGGCCTCCGAGGATGCAGATCTCTCCATCCTTCGCGGCTTGCTGGACTATGACCAGACCCGCGCCGCCTTCATGGCTACCCCACGGTGGAGCGGCGCCCAGAAGGTGGTCTTCCCTGAACGTACAATTGTTAGCGATGGTGAACCGGCCGTCAGCTCTGCCAACCTCAAGCGCTTTAACATACCCCTTGGCGACGCGTACACAGTGACGGACTTCTTCTGCCAGAGCCGCTCCTTTGGCGACGCATGCTGGGTGGCGGACTTACTGCCGCCGCCCAGGGGCATCCACCGGGCGTCCGTCTTCGTCATCCTCACCCGCTTCCGCAGCATGGACCACGTCAAGTTGCTGCGCCCTTTGTATGAGCCCGGTGACGTGCGTGGGTTCAACGCAGTAGTGGACCAGTTCGAACAAGCGGCCCAGTTAGACGCAGACCTGCGGTATGAGATACGCCGACTAGAGATCATGTTCCAGGCCTGCAAGGTACGACTCGCAGATGAGTTCACGCTCATGGAGCGTCTCATCAGCGAGCGATGAATGCAAGCAGGCACCTTGTGCACCGGCGGTTACTGTACCACCTACAGTAGCAGCAAACGGAGTCTTCAGCGGTGCGGCAATCTGGGGGGGGGAGCGCTGTGGCCGGGCTCTGTGGGGGGGGGGGGGGGGTGCCGGCAGAGCTGATGACAGTAACGCCTGCAGTACCGGGCACCGTATTACTGTACTGGATATAATGTTGACGAGGGAGCCGTTGATGAGGGACTCGTAGTGAAGAACGTGGGACGATGCAACTTGGGGCTGACAAGGGTTGGGATAGCTTAGGAATGGGGTGAGTTACCGTTCGCTAACACGGGCCGCACGTGATGACTGATGCACTGATGGGTGTGGGATAGGTTGGTGTAGCTGACTGACGAGACATAAGCTTGCTAGCATGGGTGCCAGACACAGCCGCGACAGTGAATGACGTTCCTAGCTTGCCGTTCCCGGCCAACGCACGATTGGCTGTGTCCTTTTCCTGGGAGCATAATACGTAATGAATGGTTGCTGGGGAGCGAGAGAGAAGCGTGAGGGCAACTGGGAGACCGTGCCGTAACCCACGCCGTACTGCTGTACGGCCAGATGAGATGGTCATGTGACACTGATGTGGGAATGACCAGAGGAGCTGCAGTGCTGAGGGGTTGGAAGGAGCATAGAGAAGACTGAGAAAGCGTGTCATAACCCATGCCGTACTGTGCCCTCGTACAACGGGACACGCCGTGTCACACTCCTACAGGCACGGTTAGAGATAAAAGCCTGTTGGATTCGTCCAAAAGCCCATACTAGATATGGGGTTTTATCAGGGATTTTCATAAGTAAGGCGCTTGCCTAACCATGCCCTAGCACCATCGGCTTTACTTGTACGGCATTCCACCAGCCAGTCCAAAGCACAAAGGTTGGCAGAGGGCACAGCAATGGCAACCCATCACTACTCCTTGGCACTACACCTATATACTCAAGGTTGAAAGTTGGACTCCATCTGCTGCTGCTGCTGCGCTTTCAGACACACCTTCGTCTCCAAGCTTCCCCCAATGGTGGGAATGTTTCATGAATTGCGCATTACAATAAGGATGCCCTGGTGGCATTGAGAACAGGAAGGAGGTTGCAAGTGCTATTCTGTCACTGTACCATGCGGGCTTTTTTTAGTATTTATTCTACATATGAATGGGCTACAGTACACTGCAGCCATTTGAGGCAAAGCATGTCGGTGTGCTTGCAACCATAGTCCTTCCTAGTGTCTGGCCACTTGCGCCTGTACCAGATAGCATAGGACATGAATGCGGAGAAGTGGGAGCGGCTAGGCCGTTGATTATGCCTTGAATACAGGGCCTGAGTAAAAGGTGCCTGAAAATTGCCAAAAGGCACCGAAAAATGGAGTCGGAGGGCATCGATCCCCCTACCTCCCGCAGATTACTGCGGCGCTGTAGCCTGAGTGCTAAGCGGGCGCTCTACCATTTGAGCTACGACCCCAAACTGCACCAGCCGAGAATCGAACTCGGGTCTGGTCCGTGGCAAGGACCTATGCTACCACTATACCACTGGTGCTTCATGCCAAATGTTGCAACCACAATAATATATACAAGTAAGCCTATCCGAAACTTCTTAGAATGTTGCCAAACGGCCCCAATTTCGGCTTATCCTGACACTGGTTAATTGGTTATGGTGTCCGCATCGATGCAGGGTGGGTTACGCAAACCTGAAGCTGCTGCTAGACCCTCCTGTCAACAGCTTTCTGAGACACACATGAACAAGTGCAATGTAACACAGACGCACCCACCAGCTTAACCCCTGTTGTGCCCCACAGCTATTGGCGTTTCATTTGCACACACTTGACAGGTAACCTTCTGACATGTGCAGTTTACCAGCATATGTGTGCATGGTTCTGAGCATGTCAAGGATTGGAGCCATGGCTTTGTTGCTATGGGTGCCGTTACTTTGCAGTATATATGTTGGCACAGTGTATGTATCTGGCATCTGCGTCATACGTACAGCGTCAAGCTCTTGCTAGGGAGTATTGCAGCCCCCAGATAGACTCACGGCTGCACTCTGCTCACATAGTGTCTCCAGTGTCACCATATGTCAGAGGTAGCATTTTGGCACTACAACCCACCCTAAAAATCACACGCCCAGCCAGTTGCAGAGGATCCATTGTTGGGGGACGACCTTGCATGTCTGTAGGAAGGCTTGGGTGTGAAAGCATGGGGCTCATGCAGAACCGATCCATGCACCATTGCACACTATGGTGATAAGAAAGACAAGAAGACATGCACGCACAATGGGTGGTTGTGCAATCTCAGGCGGCCGGCAGCTCTGATGCAATCCCTTCCTGGGCCTGGACGGTGGTTGGTCACGGCCTTTATTACCCGCTCTTCAGTCTGCCATGCAATGTACAGCTGCCGTCAACCACAACTGCCTGACCGTACTTGGCCAGCTAAGCAGAGTGAGCTAGACAGCTTCTATGATGGCTGGTTTGGAGCTGGCCTCAGGGCATATCTGGCCACCAGCAGCATGATTCACAAACTGCATGAAATGTATTTATGGTCAGCAAAACATTGCTTCACGCCTTGACATCTTGGCGGGAACACTAGAACAATTGCCCAGCCATGCTAGTCACCTAGCATACTTCTCACCGATGTTGTCTGTGAGGTAAGCGGCTGTGGCTTCAACACACATGTGTTAAAAGCTTGAAGACATCGCTGACCGAGATCAAGACAGGCCATCTTTGCAGCCATTCACTTCACCGCGCCTGCTTGCCTCGCTGCACTACTGTTATACATCTGGCTTTCACGCTTCAAACTACGTGCACTAAACATGCTGTATGCAATGGCCAACACTGTGGCAAGGCCTGGTTGAGGGCCACTGGTTGCGGCTGGCCATAGGCACGGTTAGAGATAAAAGCCTGTTGGATTCGTCCAAAAGCCCATACCAGATATGGGGTTTTATCAGGGATTTTCATAAGTAAGGCGCTTGCCTAACCATGCCCTAGCACCATCGGCTTTACTTGTACGGCATTCCACCAGCCAGTCCAAAGCACAAAGGTTGGCAGAGGGCACAGCAATGGCAACCCATTACTACTCCTTGGCACTACACCTATATACTCAAGGTTGAAAGTTGGACTCCATCTGCTGCTGCTGCTGCGCTTTCAGACACACCTTCGTCTCCAAGCTTCCCCCAAAGGTGGGAATGTTTCATGAATTGCGCATTACAATAAGGATGCCCTGGTGGCATTGAGAACAGGAAGGAGGTTGCAAGTGCTATTCTGTCACTGTACCATGCGGGCTTTTTTTAGTATTTATTCTACATATGAATGGGCTACAGTACACTGCAGCCATTTGAGGCAAAGCATGTCGGTGTGCTTGCAACCATAGTCCTTCCTAGTGTCTGGCCACTTGCGCCTGTACCAGATAGCATAGGACATGAATGCGGAGAAGTGGGAGCGGCTAGGCCGTTGATTATGCCTTGAATACAGGGCCTGAGTAAAAGGTGCCTGAAAATTGCCAAAAGGCAACGAAAAAATGGAGTCGGAGGGCATCGATCCCCCTACCTCCCGCAGATTACTGCGGCGCTGTAGCCTGAGTGCTAAGCGGGCGCTCTACCATTTGAGCTACGACCCCAAACTGCACCAGCCGAGAATCGAACTCGGGTCTGGTCCGTGGCAAGGACCTATGCTACCACTATACCACTGGTGCTTCATGCCAAATGTTGCAACCACAATAATATATACAAGTAAGCCTATCCGAAACTTCTTAGAATGTTGCCAAACGGCCCCAATTTCGGCTTATCCTGACACTGGTTAATTGGTTATGGTGTCCGCATCGATGCAGGGTGGGTTACACAAACCTGAAGCTGCTGCTAGACCCTCCTGTCAACAGCTTTCTGAGACACACATGAACAAGTGCAATGTAACACAGAGGCACCCACCAGCTTAACCCCTGTTGTGCCCCACAGCTATTGGCGTTTCATTTGCACACACTTGACAGGTAACCTTCTGACATGTGCAGTTTACCAGCATATGTGTGCATGGTTCTGAGCATGTCAAGGATTGGAGCCATGGCTTTGTTGCTATGGGTGCCGTTACTTTGCAGTATATATGTTGGCACAGTGTATGTGTCTGGCATCTGCGTCATACATACAGCGTCAAGCTCTTGCTAGGGAGTATTGCAGCCCCCAGATAGCACTCCCAGAAAGGCTCTTAGTTGAGATGGTGCTCAAACGCTTGAGATTGATTGAGTTGAGTTGAGTCTACTTGAGCTTGGTTGAGGCTGCTCTCAAGTGGTTGAGTTACCATACTCTCAAGGAACCTCAACCAGAAAAAAGCCCCGCCCGGTGTAATTTGCTTCGTTGAGTATGTAAGACCTATTGAGCACAATTGCTCAAACAAAGTTAAGCTCAATATGACAATGAATGTATATATATAAACAGTTATGAGCTTGTCCTTAAAGGAACGATGCCCTAGTTACCCGGCTGTCCTTGGCCTATGACGGACTTAGTTTGAAAGCCGCCCCATGATCCATGTGTCCGCTACGTGCCTGCACAACATGCCCCGTTACTGGTAAGCCTTGCTCTTTTACTTCACACAACACACAACCTTCTTAAGCTCACGTTACATAGATACTGTCTCTCGTTACCGAATGAATTGCCTCAATCACCTCGCTCTCCCAACACCTCGACTACTTCTTACAAGGCATTCCAACACTAGGAAACGAATTGCGATGAGTTAACTGTTATACGTTAAGAAGCGTGTGTGATGTCGAACACCAAGCCACCATGGCCGCGTCTGCTTCGCGACGGGCTCGCTGCTCAGCATGCAGATGGCTCATTCTCGTGTACTCAATGCAATAAAGTATTTCACAGCAAGCATCTTTACAAGCACAAGTGTTCCCTAGTCCACGTGCCGCTGGAGCCATCATGTGTGGACAGCGACCTAACATGCAACACAGATTATGCTTCCTGCTTGGATTTACTAGGCGATGCAGTCGCAGATAAGCTTCTTGCATACCAACGTGACCTGGCGCAACGCTCAGTCCCGATGATGGCGCGCACCAAAGACCTCAGGGCCGTGCTCATACAGCTGCGCATACCATTTGCCGATGCTGTTTTCCCACAAGGTGAAACGACTAGTACATCCGCTCTGTTACTCTTTACGGTTTTGCGCCGTGCTTCAACTCCATTCCTTATGTGTTTCCACAGGCCAGACCTCCCCGCCGCCTGCTGCTGACAACTCGCCTCTTCCTAACAGCCCCATGCTAGTGGAGACACGCTCCCCGCAGTCCCAGCCTTCACCGATGGACGTCAACAGCCCAGAGGTAGAAATGCGCTCTCCCGCTAGCGACCCATCCAGCAGTGCGTCCCCCAACGTCTCATCCACGTCTAATAACGGAAGCGAGGCCGAAAGCAGTGGTTATGACGACCACGGTGAGTGCGACTGGTACTGTACATGTCTTCCTTGCAACTCGGGCACCTTTATTTCCCATGCATGCATCATGTCCCTTGTGAACTCCTGCCCTTACCGTTCGAAACTGCTGTGGCAATGCACCATAGGACCTAACCTCCCCTTACCGTATGTGCCCTCCAACAGGGGCAAGCCATTCTACTGTTAGCGACAGCGTCGACGGGGATGGCAGCGAGGATGGCTCGCATGGCCGCAGCAGTCCCGGTAGCATGCAAGGAGGTAAGGAACAGCCAGTGCGGTTTTGAACTAGGACGTGTCTCGTCTCCATGCTCGTAGAATCTCGTGGCATTGTCGTACTTAGCAGGAGCTAGCCATTCCACGGGTACCAGCGGCGGCAGCGGCAGCAGAGGTGGCGACAGTGGGCCGGACTCACTCCATGACAACAGCTTGCTTGGCGGTGCCAGCGATGGTGGGGATGGCAGTGATGGCCGCAGCGACCATGCTGCTAGCATGCTGGATGGTAAGTGGTCATACTCCGGTGCCTGTCGGGTTCATCCTCTTTACGTGTTCAACGTAACCCGTGTTTCCTACATGTCCAGAGGATGACCCGAACACGCTGCCTGGAGAAGACCTCCTCGACCAAACCGGAACTGACGACGACGGTAGGAAACCAATACCCATCGCATCCGCACCTCCATGCCTATGTACGCCATGAAGCCGTACTCTCAAACAGCCGTTCTCCTGTGACCGCAAGTTACTGACACCTAATTCTCACACACATTAACACGTCGCAGGTCTTTCTTCCGTCAGCAACAAGTCGGACGACCTCAACCTGCCAGGCGAGGTCGACCCTTACGCGTACATTCGCAGTAAGTTCACGTGCAAACCATGTGTCAGGGGGCATTGCAACCGTTCTAGTCCAAGTCGAATTGCTCAGTGTCGTACTTATTTTCCAAGCCCTTGCCTGCGTGTACCCAATTCCGTCCTAAGCAACCTGTTCCCACGACCGCAGGGATTCTGGGTCTTGATCATGCGCTGGAGGCGGGGGCTGGCATCGAAACCCACCCCGCGGCTGCAGCCACTGGAGGGGACCGCTGTGCGTGTGGTTGCGGCGGCCCACCAATTAAGCCAGGCGGCATCAGCTGGTTCCGCCACGGCCTCGGTCTCCCCGTTTGCAAGGGTGTCGATAGAGACGGTGCGCCGAACCCTAGTACCGTAACTACCCGCGAGTTCGTCGCGGCTCTCCTGCAGTTCCATATGCGGAACCACATTCCCACAACGGTCATGGAGACCTTGCTACGCTTGTTTGCTAGCGTGGTCCCCGGTCCGCACTTCATTCCTCCTTCACTGTACATGCTGTCACAGCTAGCCGGTGTCCCTGACTGGCACCAGTTCCAGCAGCACCTCTGCTCGACCGAGGGTTGCCCTGGCCATGTATTTGAGCCAGAGCCAGATCCCGCCAAGTGGGAGCAGCTACGTGACGAGTGCTGCCCACACTGCCAGACACCGCGCTTCAAGTCCGTTTACCTTGGAGGTGAGCATAGTTCGGCTGTTTCAGACTCGTATACTGATCTCCAGCACCAGCAGGCCTCTTGCCCCCTGCTTCGTACCCTGCTGTTTGCTCACCGGGAACTATGGCGAACCCGTGCCTGCTCACCTACTGCAGGCAAGGAGCGTCTTGAACCCCGGCGGTGGTCCATCGACTTCGGCCTGGAAAATGTTATCCGCGAGCAGTTTTTCCAGTCCGAGCTGTACAACCAGCAGCGCGGGCGATGCCGGGATTGCGGAGAGGACAGCAATGGCAGCAGCTACTACAACGGTCAGTCCCTAAGCGACTCCAATGCATTGTATGCATCGGTGCCTTCAACCCTACCCTAGGCTTAGCTCGCATGAATCGTAACATGCACGCAATGCTGCATGCATGCAACACTACATGCGCCTCTGCCCTTGTCGTTGCGCCTAGTTGTGACGCAGCTGTGTCCCTCGGTGCTGTATCCCCACCCTTTACAGCTCCGGCCTTTCGTAAACTGGCTCTCGCCACCGACCACGAGGCCCAGAAGGCGACGGCCTCGACCTATGACCTGTTCTTCGACTTCCTAGAGCCCTTTAAGGGGAGTCCTTACTCGGTCGGAGTGCTTGCGGTTCGTGCGTGTGATGTGGCTGCCAGGGACAAGGGGAAGTCGCAGTTTGTAGCCATATTATCCATCATACCCGGCCCCAGGCAGCCTCCCGTACTCACTCCCTACCTCACTCCCACAATAGACGCGTTCCGCCATCTATTGACAAACGGGATGGGCGTCACGCAGTCCTGGCGAGACAAGCTCAGCGGTAATGTCGTCAGCGAGTCATTCGTACACAGGGGCTTTCTATCCGCCGTACTGGCCGACACACCCGCGCGCATCAAGTGCGCCCTTCTCGCGGGTGTCGGTTCCTACATAGGCGCGTGTAGCTACTGCTTCTTCCAGGGCACGTATGTCCGCAAGCCCGGTGCCAAGGTCGGGGCCATGCGCTACCTTGGTTACGAGCAGCCCGTGCCGCAAACAATCAGGTACGCCGGCGGGGGTCTAGCACGCAGTAGGTGTGTCCTCTGCTTCGTTGCTTGCTCTATTGACATGTCCCGTAGATTGCCATCATTTGGAACAATTTAATGACCCATGGGTCCATGCCGTTTCGGTTTTGGCCTCTATTAGGTTTGGCGGGGAGCCGATGCTGGTAGGGGACCATCGCCTCCTGCTAGACGACGCAGGACAGCGGCAGCGTGCTCGGCGTGTGGCGGCCCGCGCCTCAGCGGCTCTGGCTGCCCGTGGTACTCCCGAGGCCGGTCCTTTGCGCAAGAAGCTCGAGCTTTCCATCAAGCACCATGGCTGCAAGGGGGAGTCTGCCTTCACTTCCCTTCCGTATGTCAACATGCAGGACCTGTTCCTTGTGCCCGTCGCCCATGCCCTTCTCTATGGCGTTGTCGCTAACTTCTTCGATGATATCTTCCGGAAGCCAGCTACGGATGAGGAGAAGGAATTCACAGTGGCAGAGCGTGACATCCACGCCATCAGGGAGAGATCGTCGCACATCACGGTATCCTCCGACTTCGGTCGCGCATACCGTTGTATCATAGTGCACAGGTCAGAATCACAGGCATTAGTGGAAGTGTATACTTTGTTTAGTAGTGCCGACACGGGCAAAGGTCGCGCGCCTTGAACTTTGGTGGACCTAGCGTGCAGCTGTAATAAGCATGTGCTGTAGTCATTAGCCATCTCCTATCTACACGACTACGTGTACGACATCCCCGTGGTGCCTGTGTTTGTATCCGCATTGCAGGGGCGGGTACCTGCTGGAGGACTGGCTGCATTTCTGTGAAACCTTTTCGCATTACATCTTCCAGGATGTAACGCGGAATGGGATCAAGTCACCTGTTCTGCCGCCGCCAGTCCGGGAGATGTGGCAGCATCTGCAGGCTGCAGTTGGCCACTACTTCAGGCCGCTGCACTACAAGACCCGTGCCGACTTTGTTGCCGCCTCCAGGGCGGCGCACGAGAGCCTCGTCCAGTTTGCCAAACTCGCGGAGAGGCGTGGCTTCCCCGGTCACACCTTCTCGGTTAACCTGCACATATGCATCTGCAGGTACGAAGTTGGTGGTAGGCACTACTCGTGGCGGTGTAACTTGCATTTAGCTCTATGTCCATTCTCGTGGCTGTTGTGCGGAGGTTCTTTTTGCGCCATTAGTGACGGCCCTTATCAATGGTGTCCGTTCATTTGCAGGCTGCGCCTACAGGAGAAACAGCGTGGGGCGGTTGCCGCGGACTTGGAGTTTGCAGTGGAGCGTGTGATGCAGCGCTTCAAGCGCATTGCGGGGTCTCATGTATCAGCACGGATAGAAGCTCATTTCGCCAAGCAGCTGCTGCTTGGGCTTGCCCTCGACCGTGTAGCGCGCGAGAACCCCAGCATGTGTACCTTGGACGACATCCTAGGTATCCAGGAGCGCAAGTACAGTGGGCCGCATTACGACAGCGACGATGGATCTGGGGTCCTCCTGCGCGGAGCAGGTATCCCGGTGTCAGGGCTGCGCCCCTTGGAAGCCGAGGAGATAGCAGAAGCAGTAGGCGAAGCGGCGAAGTTCGAGCTCGACGCTGATCTGCAGCAGTGGGTAGCTGCGGAGAGGCAGCGTGGCCGGGGGGCTGTGCGTCGACTGGACAAGCCATCACTGCTGGCCGCGCTTAGCAGCAAGGAGCCAGCGGCGCTGGTGTTTACTAGAGCAGAGGTCAACGAGGAGAGCCTGTTTAGTGCATGGTACGGAAGGGCGCGGACACGGGTGTCCAACAACGTGCTCGTAGTCTGGGAGGAGGGGGGTGCTGAGGTGCCTTACATTGCTGAGATCAAGTACTTTGTCAAGTTACCATGTGGGGTGCGCGCTGCGGGTCGCGAAGTGCAGCGCCCCGTGAGATTGGCCATAGCGTCTCTCAAGCGCGCCCGCTTGGAGGACGGTTGCTATGTTACCCAGCAGGGCGAGGCAGGCTATTTACGCTATGCCATTCCCACCTCGGCCCTTGCCGCAAAGCTCGAGAAGGTCATAGTCGCACGGTCGCCGTCGGAGCCTGGCATTTCTTGCTATATGACATACCTGCATATGACGTGCAGGTGAGCGTAGGTAGGGAGGTGCCGCTGTGACCAGGGCGTGCGAGCAGGGGGAGCGGGGTGTGCGTGAACCGCTGTCTTGCATACTTTACCGCATGGGCGGTTAGCTTTGCGTGCGTGTACGGCGCCGCGGCTGTATTAGGGGGGGAGGTGCCGCTGTGCATGCGCATGTGCATGTGAGACCAGGGCGTGCGAGCAGGGGGAGCGGGGTGTGCGTGAACCGCTGTCTTGCATACTTTACCGCATGGGCGGTTAGCTTTGCGTGCGTGTACGGCGCCGCGGCTGTATTAGGGGGGGAGGTGCCGCTGTGCATGCGCATGTGCATGTGAGACCAGGGCGTGCGAGCAGGGGGAGCGGGGTGTGCGTGAACCGCTGTCTTGCATACTTTACCGCATGGGCGGTTAGCTTTGCGTGCGTGTACGGCGCCGCGGCTGTATTAGGGGGGGAGGTGCCGCTGTGCATGCGCATGTGCATGTGAGACCAGGGCGTGCGAGCAGGGGGAGCGGGGTGTGCGTGAACCGCTGTCTTGCATACTTTACCGCATGGGCGGTTAGCTTTGCGTGCGTGTACGGCGCCGCGGCTGTATTAGGGGGGGAGGTGCCGCTGTGCATGCGCATGTGCATGTGAGACCAGGGCGTGCGAGCAGGGGGAGCGGGGTGTGCGTGAACCGCTGTCTTGCATACTTTACCGCATGGGCGGTTAGCTTTGCGTGCGTGTACGGCGCCGCGGCTGTATTAGGGGGGGAGGTGCCGCTGTGCATGCGCATGTGCATGTGAGACCAGGGCGTGCGAGCAGGGGGAGCGGGGTGTGCGTGAACCGCTGTCTTGCATACTTTACCGCATGGGCGGTTAGCTTTGCGTGCGTGTACGGAGGCGCGGCTATCAAAATGCCGATTGGATGATAGATGTAAGTATGACTTTCAAAGCTTCTAAAGTTCTCTTGACCATGGCCAGTACTTCCGACAACACAAGTGCTACTTTAGATTATGTTCCACCCATCAATCTGCGTTACGACCCGAACCAGCGGGACCAGGACGAAATACTTCTACGATTCCTTCATAAAGTTAAAGGAATACATTATGTATTGCTTAGCCGCTCCGAGAGCTGTTCGACGGGGACATTGTCTGGATACCATCTGGGAGACCAGTTCAGCCCTGATGCGGACAGGAGTACCTACTCGGTGATGACTCTCCAGGTAACAATTCCGTAAAGAATATGCAGGCTCGTGTTTTGTAGCAATACATGACAACAGTCCTACTCTTTAGGCATGCAGCCGACAGGCGGGATTCAGTGATTCGGGATGGAGCTGCAATGCTAAGGTGTACTCAGAGTCATCGCGGAAGTGGGTCAGGGTCCGTGATGCTGGAGCAGACGCGGTTCAGTACCTGACGGGGTTCACATCGCCACGTAAAGTCGACTCGGGCGTGCAAACGCACGCTGGAGGCCAGTCGCCTCTATTGCTCCAATTTACAGATAGGGAACTTGAAGCAATGGAAGCCAGCGGATCTATCGTGCCAATCGGGATGGGAGGGTTTGGTAACGTCAGCTCCGCCAACATCCCAGCCGTCGGCAATGTCGCCATTAAGATGTTCAGGCATGACCACACATCCGCCGCAATACGCGAAGCCATAGGGATGAATCTACGCATTGGGCTGCAGCACTCGTCTCAGTACCTCGTCCCACTGAGGGGGACCGTACGTAGCATTGACACTGGGGATGTGATTGGCCTCGTCTGGGACATGTTGCCGGGGGAGACACTACAGAAGGCCATAGTGTCCGGGGTGCAGCTTAAGATCTTGTTGTCGTACGTAGCAGACGCCTGTCTTGGGTGTGCACACCTCCATGACCGGGCGCTTGTCCACAGGGACATCAAGCCGGCTAACATACTGGTAGGCTGCCTCAGCCTGGCCTAATCTGGTTACCTACCTCTTGCTCACTCGATGCTGTCCTGCCTGTGCACGCAGGTGGACTGTTCCCATGCACGGCTGGCAGACTACGACCTGGCGGTTACCAATAGCACCGCCAGTGGAGAAGTGAGTTTGCTGTTGAGCTTGCTTGCATGGGCGTTTCTGTGTCCAAGAGTGTCTGATGTTGCTGTGTTCTGTCTTGGGGTCTGTTTGCATCCATACGGCCGCTGTTTCTCTAATGCTTTAATGTTCACTGTCCTTCTCCTGGTGACAGGCCGGTACCCCGGGGTTCCGACCACCCGAGGGAGAGAGGCTGTCGGCGCGGAGTGGGCAGCGGCACGAATACAGCTTTGACTTTTATTCCATGGGCGTTACCCTCTTAGCAGTGTTGCTGCGGAAGGGATCACCTTATGACGAAGTAAGGTCCCTACATCGGAGCACCGTGAACGCGCCCGGGCTAATGGCACAGTTTGCGTCAGAGGCCAGCGCTGCACATGGCGCTGGATGTTCGTCCATTGTATTGCCAATTCTTAGCGTGGTGCGCTCGGCGACAGATGCTATGCCTGCAGCGAGGTGCAGGGGCTCGATGCTTGATCATGCAATGCAACAATCGGGGGCGGGTGGTTACATGCGTGCACTAGCGAAGTACATTAGGGACGTTGCAGCAACAATGGAATAGGCGTCATCACGCATGCGTGCAAGGGGCCGAGTGGGCGTTACTGCTGTTTCCAGACGTATAGGACGGTGCATGCAAGTGGTTACGTCGACCGCTATTACCAGGACTACTGCGCAAATGAGATTGCATATCCGTACGTTACATGTAATACATACGTTCCTTCCATGATACTGCTTCTATGCTCTAAGACGATGTAGCTGGCACATACAAGCATGCCGAAAGCATGTCGAGCGAGCGAAGTACGATGTCTAGAAGCGTAAAATAGACCAGCAACAACCAGCTATGTCATGATGCATGCATGAAGTATACGTAACGTGCCAATACCCATATGCCCACGTCATCATCAGAAGCAACTGCATTCAATCTCGCCTATGCTAGCTCTAGTCCACGCGCAGGTGCTTGGCAATCATCGCACACTTGGACTTGTCGCAGAAGTCCATTACGCACACAGGGGAGTACGTGACCTTCTTCAACTGGATCCAGATCATGCCTTCGAGCACCATGTGCTCCGACGTGGCCATCTGCCATGGGTCGTCGCGCAGCTCGTGCAGGGCGAAGCTGCCATCGGACTTCTGGGAGACGGCGCAAATGCGACCGCCGTCGTGCCAGGGGAGGAATGCAAGGTACTTGAATGCTCCAGGGTTACCCTGAGGGACATCGATGTCAAACGACCCCTGCGACGGAGAACGGTCTGAGGTTAGAATACATGTTACCGTTCACCAAATAATCGATCCAGGACAAAGTGCTGATGTGTCTGCTCTAATGTGAACGCAACATTTAACAGGAACAACACCCATTGCTTACCCCGTTGGTGACCATGAAGGCGAGGAGGTGCTTGGAATCGCCAGCGAATACGTCCCCAAAGCGGGCTAGCTTGGCCTGGCACCATTTGCCACGGACGAGTGGGGCCGAAAGCATGAACGCCGAGTAAACCTCGTCGTCATCGCTAAGCGAGAAGCTGGAAGCCATAAGTTTCCCATGCTTGTCAACAGCGAAGCTAGTTCCATCGCCAGGAAGCACATCCTGGCACTCAGAGAGGGGCTTGGGCAGGTGCCATTTCACATGGCAGCCTACACTGGCCCTCCTTCCATAGCTCAACAGTGGGGCTAGGGCGGCCATCAAATTACAGACTTGAACGGTGTATTAGAAGTCCTTTTGCAGTGCAAATTACTGGGAGTATCGGTCGATACAAAATTGCTCGTTCGAGATTGCTCGACAATGGGCAGCTGTGGACCCGACAATGGCATTTATTAACAGAGGATGGCTACAGCTTGCAAACGGCGCGTAAATTCCAGGGCCTGATGCGAGTTCAAAGGCTTTGTACGACCGCGATGCACCAACACCCCCCGTATCAAAGCAAGTATTAGAGTATAGTTAATTTACCAGGTGATATATAAATACACTCAGGCTGTAACCTATATATCTATATAGGCAGACGCTAAGCATTTCAGAGCAAGGCAAGTACTTTGACCAGACCCTTCGGACTGCACTTCGTCGCTTGACTGCTATCGTTATGGGGACTGCAATGCAAACACTTCATCACGTCAAGCTAAGGATAAAGGCATCCGGTGTGCTCGTGGAGGCTATCGGGTCACATGAGCCCCTTGTCATCTACACTGGCAAGGAGTCCCTGTTGGCTAAATATCGAAGCTTCTTTGGCGAGCGTTCAAACATCATGACAAAGGCGCCCGTGGAGGATGGGAGCGATGAGAGTAAGTTACATTGATATTGGCTTTATGCCAGTCGTCTTCATGTAGCTTATAAATAATATGCAAATGCGGTTCATTAGGATAGTATGTGGTAAACAGGATGTCTTGGGATAAGCCTGTCCTAGTGGGAACATCGCGCTAACAATGCATTTCGTTTACTTGTGGTCCCCGCTCGTCAACAGGTCACTTCAGCTCAACAGAGGAGCTGGTGCAGTACCTGGACAACATTCGCAGCGGCGCTACTATCTTTGACTCTGAGGCGGAGTTCAACATGACCTTCCCGCCTCCTCCTTGTAAACTCGTCGGCTGGACTGGAGGACCCGAGGGGTGCCGCATTTACACGTTCTCTGTAGAGCTTTGTGATTTCATTGGTGATGCACAGGCGCGGACGGTGCACGCGCCTCTGGCGTCCCATGACAAACCGCTCGGGGCAACGCGGTTCCAGGCCACGGCAACCGTGATGGTATCGGACCTGACTAACACCCTGAGCATGGGGCCCTCTGCACTGAGTGGCGGTAGCCATGTCCACAGCGCTTACCGGGGGGGTGGCGCGACACAGGATATGGACTACCTGCTTGTCGCCTTGGGTGTTGAGGTGGGCGGGGTGTCCTCGTCGGATCTTCAGTCGGCGGGTTCGGTCATAACGGAGGCCAAGAGCCGGCTCGTCAACAGGGGTAAGAGGGGAGCGATGCATGGCTACTTATAGTCCGGGATGGTTAGGTTAGGTCTTCTAGTACGGCGGTGTTCGATGCTTGCTTGCATGTTCTGAGCTCTTCCTTGGAATGTAATATCCTGAAATGATGAGCCCCTTGTTTCTTGTCCTCCTACTAAGTTATTCCTTCTTTTGGAATGCCTCGCCCACCTACAGCATTCGAGCGCTACGTGCCGCCCATGGGCGATGGGCGTGGGCCCGCACGCATCAAGGACTACAACCCTAGCGAGACCAGGGGGAAAGGTTCCGTCAACTCCAGCAAGCCTGGGCGCTTCAGGCAACTGTCGAACAAGGACCGAGAGTACGCAGGGCTGTTCGACACCATCATGGTAGCTTGCTCAGGTGTGTACCGTTCTGTCGGGATTCCGTATGCGGATAATCATCATAGCCATGTGTTGTTGCGTGCTGTAAATGCCCATGGCTTGTGTATGATTGGGTACTGGAAATGCCCTCGACAAATGTCTTTTGCGATTTGTGTTCCTGCCACAGGCATGGCGCAGAAGGAGATGCTCATGTCAGGGTCAAGCTACCCTCACGAGCTGGCGAAGAAGTACGGTGTGCATCAGACGCACTACAAAAAGAAAGTGCTCCCGAAGCTGGCCGCCGACGACAAGGAAAGGAGAAAGCTTATCCCGGATCGGGTGACCGGCCCAAAGATGCTGCTGCGGGACATGCGCAAGTAAGTAAGGTGACATGCATAGAGCCCCGACACATCGGGTTAATAGATTACTTGGTTTGCGGATCATGTTACTGCCTGGTAGATGCCACCTAAACGTATTACCGTGCATGTATAGCGGTTGATGTGTTGTTCATTGAAGTTGCCAGCGCCTCTAGTCCGCCTCTGACCTGCCTCTCACCCGCCTCGCACCCACAGCAAGCCCGCAGAGATGTACAGCTCTGCGACGAGGAAGGAGATCGAACCCGCGAAGCTCGCCAGCAAGATTGCAGCGGCGAAGGTCCGTATCGCGGCGTGGGAAGAGCGGTGGCTGGCGGCCTTGCAGCGTGCTCACGAGGTGATGGTGAAGTACCGTTACGAGTACGACCCGCTGCTGGAGGGCGAGCTCAAGGCGGCCTTGGAGGAGTACGAAGAGGACGGTGAGGAGCTACGGTAAGGACATTGTTTTGTGGGGTAAGATGCGGAAGGAGGTGCCTTTACTACAGCCAGCAGTCCCTTGTTGTCGCCATGCAACTTACTGCTTCAATGCACAGCATTAAACCTGGTCTCACTTCACGACCTGCCGTCAATTCCTTGTTGTACAGGATCCATCTCCAGGTCGGGCTGGCCGACAGCTTCTACCGTGCGATCCAGGTGCTCGAGTCCGCGGGGGTGAAGGTGGACGAAGACACGAAGCGCCATTACCCCAAGTGTAAGTAAGTGGGTGCTTCTTGACATTCGGTTTACGGATTAGGCGGAGGAGGGCATGAACTGCCTTGTGTGCGTTGTCGCTTAGTTAACGTGTCTTGTAGTGTTATGTCATCTCATTCGTTTCTTGCCTACCCATTTCTTGATCGTAGGGTCCACGGAGGACCAGGAGGGGCGGCAGCAGCAGGAGGGGCACAGGGAGCGGCAGGAGTGGCGGCAGGAGCTGCGGCAGGAGCTGCGGCAGGAGCAGGATGGGCGCAGGGAGCGGCGTGAGCGCGAGCAGCAGCAGCAGGAGGAGCGCAGGGATCGGCAGGGGCGCGCTGGGGGTGGTGGGGGGCTGGGCAGGATTGCCGAGGTCGAGGAGGATTTGGATGAGGAGGAGGAGGCTGTCGGGAAGGGGACTGGTGGAGTGCTGGGTGACCGGCAGACCCCCTTGCCCGAGATTAGCGAGAGTGGCAGTAGCCAGGATGGGGGGAAGGATCAGAAGCGACCAAACAGCAAGAACGCCTCGGTTAGCAAGGTAAAACGCGTAAAGGGGGCTGTGGGAGGAGGGTCTCGGGGCGGAAAAGAGAACGCCCGTGGCAAGTCGGACCACGGTTCGAAGAGGCGGCGGAGGTAGTTCGGCATTTTTGCAGTAGGGGCTGATCTATATCAAACCTCCTAACATGATGTATGGTGCGTGGCCTGTGGTTTTCATGCATCCATGCGCTGCTGTGTTGCTTGCTTGGGTGATCTTAGCGGGTTGAGCTTGGTATTTACAATGACCATCGACTGCGGCCGTACGTGTATGACAGAAGCAGGGCAGGTACTTTATTAAACGGATGGACGCGAACTAGAACAGGTATTAGTGGCAGTTACGTGTGGCTATTGCGTTGGTGTGGCTATTGCGGCATGAGCAGTGTTGGGAGCGACGTGATGTGCTTGGAAAGCGTATCACAATTGAGTTGCGACACTTGAGGCGCTGTTGAGTTTGGTTGACCGGTTATTGAGTCCGCTATTGAGGCGTACGTTTGAGCAACGGTTGAGTTTGGTTGACCCGTTATTGAGTACGATAATGAGGCGTTCGTTTGAGCTACAGTTGAGTTTGGTTGACCGGTTATTGAGTACGATGTTGAGGAGTCCTATTGAGCGAGGGTTCAATTTGGTTGACCCGTAATTGAGTCTGCTATTGAGTCTACATTGAGTCGCCTAATTGAGCATGTAATCTCAATATGACATCTCAACAATTCCGGTCACTTTGTTAAATCTGGGACTCAAGGGGGTCAATTACACTCAATCTAACTCAATCTAACCCTTTCTGGGAGTGTAGACTCACGGCTGCACTCTGCTCACATAGTGTCTCCAGTGTCACCATATGTCAGAGGTAGCATTTTGGCACTACAACCCACCCTAAAAATCACACGCCCAGCCAGTTGCAGAGGATCCATTGTTGGGGGACGACCTTGCATGTCTGTAGGAAGGCTTGGGTGTGAAAGCATGGGGCTCATGCAGAACCGATCCATGCACCATTGCACACTATGGTGATAAGAAAGACAAGAAGACATGCACGCACAATGGGTGGTTGTGCAATCTCAGGCGGCCGGCAGCTCTGATGCAATCCCTTCCTGGGCCTGGACGGTGGTTGGTCACGGCCTTTATTACCCGCTCTTCAGTCTGCCATGCAATGTACAGCTGCCGTCAACCACAACTGCCTGACCGTACTTGGCCAGCTAAGCAGAGTGAGCTAGACAGCTTCTATGATGGCTGGTTTGGAGCTGGCCTCAGGGCATATCTGGCCACCAGCAGCATGATTCACAAACTGCATGAAATGTATTTATGGTCAGCAAAACATTGCTTCACGCCTTGACATCTTGGCGGGAACACTAGAACAATTGCCCAGCCATGCTAGTCACCTAGCATACTTCTCACCGATGTTGTCTGTGAGGTAAGCGGCTGTGGCTTCAACACACATGTGTTAAAAGCTTGAAGACATCGCTGACCGAGATCAAGACAGGCCATCTTTGCAGCCATTCACTTCACCGCGCCTGCTTGCCTCGCTGCACTACTGTTATACATCTGGCTTTCACGCTTCAAACTATGTGCACTAAACATGCTGTATGCAATGGCCAACGCTGTGGCAAGGCCTGGTTGAGGGCCACTGGTTGCGGCTGGCCATACGCACGGTTAGAGATAAAAGCCTGTTGGATTCGTCCAAAAGCCCATACTAGATATGGGGTTTTATCAGGGATTTTCATAAGTAAGGCGCTTGCCTAACCATGCCCTAGCACCATCGGCTTTACTTGTACGGCATTCCACCAGCCAGTCCAAAGCACAAAGGTTGGCAGAGGGCACAGCAATGGCAACCCATCACTACTCCTTGGCACTACACCTATATACTCAAGGTTGAAAGTTGGACTCCATCTGCTGCTGCTGCTGCGCTTTCAGACACACCTTCGTCTCCAAGCTTCCCCCAATGGTGGGAATGTTTCATGAATTGCGCATTACAATAAGGATGCCCTGGTGGCATTGAGAACAGGAAGGAGGTTGCAAGTGCTATTCTGTCACTGTACCATGCGGGCTTTTTTTAGTATTTATTCTACATATGAATGGGCTACAGTACACTGCAGCCATTTGAGGCAAAGCATGTCGGTGTGCTTGCAACCATAGTCCTTCCTAGTGTCTGGCCACTTGCGCCTGTACCAGATAGCATAGGACATGAATGCGGAGAAGTGGGAGCGGCTAGGCCGTTGATTATGCCTTGAATACAGGGCCTGAGTAAAAGGTGCCTGAAAATTGCCAAAAGGCCCCGAAAAATGGAGTCGGAGGGCATCGATCCCCCTACCTCCCGCAGATTACTGCGGCGCTGTAGCCTGAGTGCTAAGCGGGCGCTCTACCATTTGAGCTACGACCCCAAACTGCACCAGCCGAGAATCGAACTCGGGTCTGGTCCGTGGCAAGGACCTATGCTACCACTATACCACTGGTGCTTCATGCCAAATGTTGCAACCACAATAATATAGCGCCGCGTCGTGGTCGCCGCGGCCGGGGGTACCGTAAATCCTGATTGGTGATGCGCGCCGGCATGACATGATTTTGGCACATTGCGTACCTGACGTCGGTGAGCTGTCGAGTGTTGCGAGCTTGCTCATGTCGCTGACGAGCACACTGCTGGCGAAGCTGATGTTGGCATACCAGTCATGTTCATTAACAAACATTGGTCGTACGAGCATGGTCAGCAGACCTGAAGTCGGCGTACCGACCAGTGCTGCGAGCTTACTCCTCTTGCCGACGAGCATGGTGGGCGGACCTAACGTTGGCGCACCGACCAGTGTTGTGAGCTTGCTAATGTCGCAGACAAGCATGGTGGCGGACCTGATGTCAGCGTGCGGCTCATGTACAAAAGCATTAGTCGTAAGCCATTTGTGGTAAGGCATAGGTTGCCTCTCGCCGACGATCAGGGTCAGTGGGCCTGATGTCAGTGCAGTGACCAATGTTGTGAGCTTGCTACACTCGCTGACAGGCGAGGTCGGCGGACCCAACATTGGCGTGCCAGTTTTGTTTGTAAGCATTGGTTGTAAGGCATCTGTCGCGAGGCATAGGTCGCCTCTCACTGAAGGTCAGGATTACTTTCTTACGTAAAGTAACCGAGGAACTGCGAATGGCTCGTTAACTCAGTTATAGTTTAGTCGACATCACAGTGCAGACGAGCAGCGCAAGGAAGTCGGTGGGATGTGGCTCCACTTCGTTACGGGGGACGAAACCTAAAAAGACAGCATTGCAAATTGCGCCGAGAGGCTTTTGCCGATGCCGTGTCCGTCGCCAAAACCTAAGAAGCTTTCACGGTCACCACCCCTGACAGCATTCGCCGATCAGTGATCCCCGATGAACCATTGTTTTCGGCGATCAGTAATCGGCGCTTTTCAGCAGACGCACCGACTTCACGACTACGCTTCTCGCTGAAACCAGCTTGCAAATAGCGCCGAAAGACTTTTGCTGATGCCGTGTCCGTTTCCGAAACCTAAGAAGCTTTCACGGCCACCACCCCTGACAGCATTCGGTGATCAGTGATCGCCAATGAATTGCTTCTTACGAAATGATACTGATGATCTAATGTTTTGATACTCCAATATACTATGCTGCCAAAGACAGCCTACAGACCAAGAAACGACCGCCCGAAGCGCAAGTCTCACTGGGATTATCAACCAAAGCAATAGCCATGATGATTGATCATGCTGTATTCTACACTTTTATCGCATATTACACAATTAAAGAGATCTGAAAAGCTGAATTCGCTCGCCGGGCAGGCTTGGCCGTACATGTCCGAGCAGTCCCAGGCGACCGGTCCATACGTTTCAGAAAGGAGAACGTTCACGCCAAGTCATGACATGATAGACCCGCAGGTCGCTTACCTGACCCGCAGGTCAGTGATCACCGAATCAACCATAGTTTTCGGCGATCAGTAATCGGCGCTTTTCAGGAAATGCGCCGACTTAACGAACGTGCTTGTCGCCGAAACCAGCTTGCAAATTGCGCCGAAAGACTTTTGCCGATGCCAGGCTAATTGCGCCGAAATCTAAGAAGCTTTCACTGTGACCACCCCTGACAGCATTCGCCGATCAGCGATCGCCGATCAACCATAGTTTTCGGCGATCAGTAATAGGCGCTTTTCAGGAGACGCGCCGACTTCACAACCACGCTTCTTGCCGAAACCAGCTTGCAACTTGCGCCGATTTCCTTTTGCCGAAGCCATATCCGTTGCCGAAACAGTTTTACACCGATTTCTGAAAGTAACCAAGAAACTGCGAATGGCTCATTAAATCAGTTATAGCTTAATCGACATTACAATGCAAGACATCACAACAAGGAGACCGGCGACACACGGTGTTCGAACCCATGCCGTACCGTGTCACTGTACGACAGGGGTGTTCAGAGGAGCTGGAGCGACAAGGGGGTGGTAAGGGGAGTGGGGAGTATGGAGGGGGGTGGTCACGGTCACCAAACAGTTTTACGCTGATTTTGGAAAGTAACCAAGAAACTGCGAATGGCTCATTAATTCAGTTATAGCTTAGTCGAGATCACAATGCAAGGTATTGCAACAAGAAGATTGGTGGTATGCGGTGCCCGAAGCCATGCCGTACCATGTAGCTGTACGACAGGGGTGGTCAGAGGAGCTAGAGCGGCGAGGGGGTGGTGAGGGGAGTGGGGAGCATGGAGGGGGGTGGGAGGGCGTGTCGAAACCCATGCCGTACTGCGTTGCCGTACACCTCATGGTGATGCAGGGGCGTTCAGAGGTGCTGGTGGGACGAGGGGGTGGTGAGGGGAGTGGGGAGCATGAAGGGGGGTGGGAGGGCGTGTTGACCGAGATCAAGACAGGCCATCTTTGCAGCCATTCACTTCACCGCGCCTGCTTGCCTCGCTGCACTACTGTTATACATCTGGCTTTCACGCTTCAAACTACGTGCACTAAACATGCTGTATGCAATGGCCAACGCTGTGGCAAGGCCTGGTTGAGGGCCACTGGTTGCGGCTGGCCATAGGCACGGTTAGAGATAAAAGCCTGTTGGATTCGTCCAAAAGCCCATACCAGATATGGGGTTTTATCAGGGATTTTCATAAGTAAGGCGCTTGCCTAACCATGCCCTAGCACCATCGGCTTTACTTGTACGGCATTCCACCAGCCAGTCCAAAGCACAAAGGTTGGCAGAGGGCACAGCAATGGCAACCCATTACTACTCCTTGGCACTACACCTATATACTCAAGGTTGAAAGTTGGACTCCATCTGCTGCTGCTGCTGCGCTTTCAGACACACCTTCGTCTCCAAGCTTCCCCCAAAGGTGGGAATGTTTCATGAATTGCGCATTACAATAAGGATGCCCTGGTGGCATTGAGAACAGGAAGGAGGTTGCAAGTGCTATTCTGTCACTGTACCATGCGGGCTTTTTTTAGTATTTATTCTACATATGAATGGGCTACAGTACACTGCAGCCATTTGAGGCAAAGCATGTCGGTGTGCTTGCAACCATAGTCCTTCCTAGCGTCTGGCCACTTGCGCCTGTACCAGATAGCATAGGACATGAATGCGGAGAAGTGGGAGCGGCTAGGCCGTTGATTATGCCTTGAATACAGGGCCTGAGTAAAAGGTGCCTGAAAATTGCCAAAAGGCCCCGAAAAATGGAGTCGGAGGGCATCG